AGGAGACAGATGTAAAAATTAAATAAGACATAAATTTTTTACACAGAGTGGTTCACGTATGGAATGAACTTCCTGATGAAGTGGTGAATGCGGATACAGTTACAACATTTACAAGACATCTGGATGGATATATGAATAGGAAAGGTTTGGAGCCAGGAGCAGCAGGTGGGACTAGTTTGGTTTGGGATTATGTTCAACAGGGACTGGTTGGACCGAAGGGTCTGTTTCCGTGCTGTATGATTCTATGACCCGAAACATTAACTCTGTTTTATCCTTCACAGATGCTGCCAGACCTGCTGAGCTTTTCCAGCAACTTTGTTCCTGATTAACAACATCCACAGTTCTTTCGGCTTTTAATAATCCAGAGGCCTAGGCTGATGCTCTGGGGACAGGAACAGAAATTACTGGAGAAAATTGAAATAACGGCAGATGCTGTAAATCAGAAACAAAAATAGAGATTGCTGGAAAAGTTCAAACAGTCTGGCAGCTTTGGGGAGAGAAATCCAAGTTAATGTTTCAGGTTCAGTGACCCTTCCTCAGAACACAGTTAACTCTGAGTTCTGTCCACAGATGCTTCCAGACCTGTTGAGCTTTTCCAGCCATGTCTATTTTTGCTTTTGAGTTACTAGAGAAACTCAGCAGGTCTTGTAGCATCAATGGAGATAAAATAGTGCTGACATTTCAAACCCCTCGTATAGGGGTTGTGAAACTTGAGAGGGTTCGGAAAAGGTTTACAAGGATGTTGCCAGGGTTGGAGGGTTTGAGCTACGGGGAGAGGCTGAATGGGCTGGGGCTATTTTCCCTGGAGCATTGGAGGCTGAGGGGTGACCTTATAGATGTTTATAAAATTATGAGAGGGAACAGGGATAACCCCGGAAATTAGAGACCACTTAGTCTTACGTCAGTGGTGGGCAAATTATTGGAAAGGGCTCTGAGAGACAGGATTTATGATCACTTGGAAAGGCACAATTTGATTCATGATAGTCAGCATGGATTTGTGAGGGGTAGATCACGCCTCACAAACCTTATTGAATTCTTTGAAGAGGTGACCAAACACGTGGATGAAGGTAGAGCAGTGGATGTGGTATACATGGATTTAAGTAAGGCGTTTGACAACGTTCACCATGGTAGGCTCATGCAGAAGGTAAGGAGGCATGGGATAGGGGGAAATGTGGCAGATTGGATTCAGAATTGGCTGACCCTTAGAAGACAAAGGGTGGTAGTGGACGGAAAATATTCAACATGGTGCTCAGTTACGAGTGGTGTACCACAAGGATCTGTTCTGGGTCCTCTTCTATTTGTGATTTTTGTAAATGATTTGGATGAAGGAGTGGAAGGGTGGATTAGCAAGTTCGCGGACGATATGAAGGTGGGTCACGTTGTGGACAGTGCGGAGGGCTGTTCTAGGTTACAAAGGGACATTGATAGAATGCAGAGCTGGGCTGAGAAGTGGCAGATGGACTTTAACCCTGAAAAGTGTGAGGTGATTCATTTTGGAAGGACAAACTTGAAAGCAGAATACAGGGTTAACAGAAAGATTCTTGGCAGTGTGGAGGAGCAGAGGGATCTTGGGATTCATATCCACAGTTCCCTGAAAGCTGCCACCCAGGTGGATAGAGTTGTTAAGAAGGTATATGATGTGTTAGTTTTCATTAATAGAGGGATTGAGTTCAAGAGCCGTGAAGTTATGCTCCAGCTATACAAAAGCCTGGTTTGGCCACATCTGGAGTATTGTGTCCAGTTCTGGTCGCCTCATTACAGGAAAGATGTGGAAGCATTGGAAAGGTGCAGAGGAGACTTACCAGGATGTTGCCTGGAATGGAGGGAAGGTCTTATGAGGAAAGGTTGAGAGAGCTAGGGCTTTTCTCTTTAGAACGACGAAGGATGAGAGGTGACTTGATAGACTGTAAAAAATGATCAGAGGTATAGATAGAGTAGACAGCCAGAGACTTTTTCCTTGAGTGGAGGTAGCTTTTACCAGGGGATATAGTTTTAAAGTGAAAGGAGGTAGATATCGGGGAGACGTCAGAGGTAGGTTCTTTACTCAGACAATGGTATGGGCGTGGAATGCATTGTCGGAGAGGGTAGTGGAGTCGGCCTCATTAGGGGCATTTAAGCAGCTATTAGATAGGCATATGGATGATGGTATAAGGTAGCGGTGGATGTCAGATAGACTTTAGGTTTCGGGTAAAAGTTCGGCACAACATCGTGGGCCGAAGGGCCTGTACTGTGCTGTACTGTTCTATGTTCTATGTTCTATGTGTGGATAGGATGAATAGTCAAGGTCTTTTCCCCAGGGTAGGGGAGTCAAAAAGTAGAGGGAATAGGTTTAAATTGAGAGGGGAAAGATTTAAAAGAGATCTAAAGGTCAACTTCTTCACTCAGTGGCAGGGCGTGCATGGAACGCGCTGCCAGATGAAATGGTGGAGGCTGGTACAGTTGTAACATTTGTTGTGAAGTTGGATAGAGTACTTGTGGTTTGGGAGGCAGAAAGTTAAAATTTGCTGTTTGTAAAATGCTGGGGGGAAGCATTGTGTGGTCCCATTAAAAGATTATATGTTTTTTTCTGTGCTTAGAGATTTGTAAAAAAAGGTCTGTGAGCATCAGCTCGAAAGTTTGCAAATACACAGACAGCACCCAAATTGAAGCATTTGTATCAAAAGGCCATACAGTTAGCAGGCCAAGCAGCAGTTTACCAAGACAACAAGTTTTTGAATTTAGCCAATCAATTTGAATTTGAGATACCAAAGCCCAATTAAATTTAAATCCGATGGCTTTGACAACTTAGGACCAATCCTATTGTAAGAAATTGACGTGCCATTAAATGGGGCAGTTGGGCAAACAGGAGAGCCAACTGCCATCTACCAGAGTTAACATCCCTCAACTTTCAAGAGAGAATTGCCGGCTCTCAAAGTCTCCTCTAAGTTTTAGAGAAAGCACCATCTAAAGAACAAAAGTAGCCATGGCACAACTAGTGAATATTCCTGACAGAAGAATTGATGGAAAGAACATTCTGAAAGACACATAACCTGGCTGTAATTTTGAGACACTAAATTCTACTCTTCTTTTATATAAGTGGGACTTGTATTTATTAGAACAGCACACTGTTAGAATCTTGTTTTATTCAGGAATAGTTAATAGTTAGAAGGGATTTATTTGATTTGTTAATATTTTTGTTTATTTGTTCGCTGTTAGAGTTAGATAAATAAAATGTTACTTGTTGAATGTAAAGTGAGTGTCAGGGATTTATTTCTAAAAAAATTTTTATCTTAGCTTTAAAAACATTCAATGATGAAGCCTCAACTACTTCACTGGGCAGGGAATTCCACTGATTTGTAACTCTTTATTTGAAGAAGGCCTTCCTCAACACAGTCCTACTGGTTCTAGTTTCACCCTCCAGTGAAAACATTCTCCCTGCTTCTATCTTATCTATTTGCTTCATAATTTTACAAGTTTTTATAAGATCCCCCCCTCATTCTTCTAAATTGCAATGAATATAATCTCAGTCTACTTATTCTGTCCTCATAATCCAACCCTCTCAACTCTGGAATCAACCTAGTGAATCTCCTCTGCACCCCCTCTAGTGCCAGTACATCCTTTCTCAAGTAAAGAGACCAAAACTGTACACAGTACTCCAGGTGTGGCCTCACTAGCACCTAATACAGCTGCAGCATAACCTCCCTGTTTTTAATCTCAGTGAAAGGCAAAATTACATTTTCCTTCTTAATTACCTGCTGCTCCAGCAAACTGTCCTCTGCAATTCATGCACAAGGACACCAAAACATACTAAACCGAAGGAAATACAAGAAAATTCCAGTCTCATTTGGAAGGACTGGTTGGGACCTTGAATGGTGAGAATAGAAGAGTAACTGGACAGTTATTGGAACTCTTGCTGTTGCAATGAAAGGTGCTGTAGAGAAGGGAGAATAACTGTGTAACAAAGCAGGATGTCATTGAGTGAAGCATCCCTTCAAAATGCTGAAGGGAAAGGAGGGGAAGGTGTGCTTAATAGTGGAATCACACTGAAATGGCATTAATGAACAAGATGGGTTTTTACAACGATAAATAGAACCCTTTCATGGTCGCTGGTGAGATGACTAGTTTTTAATTCCAGATTTAGTAATTCAATTTCAAATCTACTCACAGCCACGGTGGAATTTGAACCCATATCCTCGGGAATTTAGCCGAGACTCCTGGACTACTCATCACCATCTCCTCTCATTATTGCTCATCTTCAAATGGATAATCATGGGACCTTGCTTGTATAACTTGGCAACTACATTTCTTTCATTTCAATAGTGTCTATGCTTCAAAACAACACACGGCTGGCTGTACAGTGTTATGATGAGATTGCAAAAGGTGCTATTTGAGACTTTGTTCTCAGAGTCATGGAACAGACTTTCGCCCCTAGGAGGCAGTAGTGGCAGAATCCAATGACTGCCCCCTAGATTTCTGAGGATTCAGCAATTGGTCATTGTCAATCAACAAATGCCAATCAACAAATGCCAAAATGCAATAATGAACATATCACAGGGAAAATGCAAAGCTGGAGCATTAATTCCAACCAAGCTGTTTCAACACCACATGTTTAAACTTCTGCAGGTCAAACACAAGGTTAGGAGCAGGGATTTCTTCTCAAATAAAGCATGTACCACTCACAGGGTAGTCTTGAAGCAAGGTCTGATTACTCTGATGCCTATAGAATTGAATTCTGAGTCCTCCTGTGACATTGAGCCTAATCCACGGAGATTAGGGGGTGAGACATGCAAATTCATCTCACACGCATCTCCAATCACCAGAAAGTGAGAGAAAATTTTCAAGTGTCACAGCTTGAAGAGAGAAAAAGACAATGTGTATCGATCCAAAGCATCACTTTTTTTTATCCTTCCATAAAAGTCAAATGGCTTTCAGTTTGATCAGGTGGACAGGTGATGGGTAGGGAGATGCTGTTTACCTCATGAGTGAACTTACACAGAGATGTAGTACAATCGAAGATCATTTTATGCCACTGACTCCTGTTTGAGGCTGTGGCCGTTGCTAATGGTGTTCCTGTTGCTGCTTCGTACAGATGTCATCCTCATGGCCGACGTGCTCTGGAAGTAGCTGCTGGAGATGGAATGCGATCGTCGCCTCTGGCATCGGAGGTGACTGTTGAAATGCCTCCGGAAACTCTCGCTCAGAAGGTACAGGGCGAAGGGGTTCACGCAGGAGTTGGAGAAGCTCAGCACGCGGCCCAGCACGGTGACCATGAGGTGCCCGAGTGATGGGTCGATCTCGCCGTAGTGGAAGGAGCGGTACATGTATAGCACGTGGTTGGGGAACCAGCAGAGGGCAAACAAGCCCACAAACACCAATACAATCTTCGCCAGGCGCTTTCGGGTTTCCATCTGGGGAGGGAAAGAGTGAACACAGGGAAAGGTGAGCTCAATGGGAAGAACACGCAATGCCTAGCAATGCCAACAGTAATGCCTCTTCATGCACAGTCAACTCAATAGACCTCTCCGGCTCCAACCATGCCAACTTCAGCAGGGAGCGGGGATAACAATCATCCCCAGTTGGCGAGAGGTTAAATCCAGCATTGTATTCCTTTACAACCAAGCCCAGCCCAGTGAAAATCATCCCCAGAACCCTGAACTTTCCCTTTCCAAGTAGTCACCCTGCCTCCTGTACACTGAAGCATCTCCTCTTGTCAGTCTAGTATTGAAGACATCCCGATAACTGAAATGTCCCATCCCAACCATGAGAAAGCAGAATTATCATTGCGAAAAGAAAACTTAACCCCAAGAATTTTCAATGCCAGTTACAGTCAATATAGTTTTCCTTAGATGTCTCAATTCACTGTCAATGATAAAATATTCAAACACAATTGAGCAGATTTAAGCAGAAAATTGCAAAGCCTAAATGATCACTGCAAATGGGCATATAAATCATTTCATTCATATCCAATGATGCATCAGTTAGTCAAATTCTGAACGAAGTGGTTTTATGGTTCATGGCTGAGTAGGCATGTTTATCTATCAGTCGCTTTTTGTCATGTTCTTATAGCAATTTCTTCTGTCCTCAGTTATCGAAATTACCAAAAGGACTATTCATCCCTTTGGGTTCATTTCCTTAATCATCTCTCCTCCCATGACCTACACTGTTTATTTTCCTACCACTGGTTGATTCTATCTGTTGTCCAATCTTTACAAGTCTCAAACTCCTTTCTTTGTTCTAAGCTACAATTCCATGTGGTAAAATTGCAGTGAGGGTATCAGTGAGGAAGATCATTGAATCTATTCCAGCTGATCCAAAATATCTCGACAGGCCAATTGTCACTCCATCCTCCCACCCCATCACACTATCTTACTGTCCCAGCGTTTTGTTGCCACAAAGTGTGGTTGTTAGGAAGAGTTCCAGTGAACTCTTCGATCTGCATTCTAATGTACAGAATGCAAATCTTTTAATTATAGCTCCCTAGGTACAGATCTTCAATCTACTTTTCCTAATATCTCAATACTATGTGACTGCTGATGTCCAAGTTGAGTCAACTTCTACATTTAGTATGTACATGCTCATTCTACTAAAATTGGGATTATAAAGGTCTCCAGGATAGTTATCATTCCATTAATATGTTGGTATGATCTGTCACCCTTACGTCCAGAAGTGCCAGACTGTAAAACCAAATTGAGCTTCTAAATTCACTGCATTAATGTATTGCTGTCAAATATTAAGCCAAGAAATAGCTCACAGGGGAATTCACTGCAAGCAGGTGTTTATATTAGGTGTGGGGAGCTATCTGTTCAGTAAAAATCCTCATCATCAAGGATAAAACATATTCATTCTGTATTATTCTTCACAAATGATTCAGCCAGAGTAAAAGTCTCATCCAATTTTGTGATCTTCAATCCACCAGAGACCAATCTTCTTCAATGAAGGAGAGGATTATAGCTGTGTGAATGTGTGTGTGTGGTTGTGTCTGTGTGAGTTGTTTGTGTGTGTGTGTGTGTATGGTTGTGTCTGTGTGTGTTGTTTGTGTGTGTCTGTGTCTGTGTCTGTGTGTGGTTGTGTCTGTGTGTGTTGTTTGTGTGTGTGTGTGTGTGTGTGTGTGTGTGGTTGTGTCTGTGTGTTGTCTGTGTGTGTGTCTGTATATCTGTGTGGCTGTGTTGATGTGCGTGTGTATGTTTGTGTCTGTGAGTGTCTGTGTATGCTGCCTGTGTGTGTGTCTGTGTCTATGTGTGTGTGTTGTATGTGTGTGTGTGTCTGTGTGTGTTGTCTGTGTCTGTAACTGTCTATATGTGTTACCTATGTGTGTCTTTGTGTGTGTTTTGTCTATGTGTGTTTTGTCTGTGTGTGTGTCTGTGTCAATGTGTGTGTTTGTATGTGTCTATGTGTGTTTTCAACATCAGGCTCTTTTTCATCTTCACTTTCCTGTGCACCTCATGAACCATGATCCTATTTAAATGAGGGAACAGCTCAAGGGACCAAACAGCTGACTCCTGTTCCTGTTTCCTGTGGTCTTATGGATTGCATATTTAGTTTGCAGAGCGAAACATTGCAGAAAATGCAGGGCAAAGTCTTCCAGAAAGCTGGCAAAACACCCATATGGCCTCTTCGCAGGAAGAGTGAGCATATCATATGCCAAACAGGCATTTAACAGCTTGTGATGGGCCTTCAACTGGGATCAAAGACCCTAGGGGAAGTGGAGATTCTGCCCCCTGAAAGCTGCTGGTCAATCAGAGCTCACTTCATGGCAGAGCCCCTGGAGAGCCAGTACTGCACTTACCTGAAACATCAGATCAATGAGAGGCGCAGTCACAGGTGAATGATGGCAGGAAGAGGGTGCAGAGTGTTATGGACCAAACCAGACCCCCACAAAATATTTTAACAAGGTAGCCTAGACCCTAACCTCTTCTTATTTGAAAGGTAGATGTGAAGTGTTGTATTCCAGATGCAATACGGCTGGTCAAACTACTCGACGCTAAGCAAAACACAATTTATTTAAACTCTGTAGTTAAAACACAAACAAAAGAAAGAGGAACTTAGAATAACTTAACTATTGGAAAACTTAACTGAATAATAGATACAGTGACCGCTAATAATTAACCGTTCCAATTTTGTAACATCCCATAAAACAATTCTTGCCAAAAATACAATTTCAGACATAGATTCTCACATGCAGTTCTCCAATCCAGGAGGAAAACCATCAGGCGAAGATTCAGAGAGTGTAACATCCAGGAGATATTCACTGAAGCTTCCAACTCTGTTGAGACCGCACTGGCTTCTGATTAAAACTAAAAATATCCAGAAAACCCTGGTCTGTGACAGTTGGCCAGACCCAGGCTGCTTCCATTGTTCCAACCAACAAACAATGTCAAGGTCTCACAAATTGTTTACTTTCTTAGAGACAGCTCTGCACCTCTGCCTTACAACTTCTCTTCAACAAAAAAATAGGATAAAATAACCTCTGAAAGTGACAGGATCATCGCAAAACAGAGGAGGCAGAGTCTTCCCATTGCTCTATTGCTCAACCAGATGCTGAGTTCTTTTAAATGGGGGATTCTTGTTATGTTGTACACTCAACATGACACGAGGTAGCATGGGGGCTCAGTGGTTAGCACTGTTGCTTCACAGCGTCAGAGACCCAAGTTTGGTTCCAGCCTTGGGTGACTGTCTGTATGGAGTTTGCACATTCTCGCAATGTCTGCGTGGGTTTCCTCTGGGTGCTCCGGTTTCCTCCTACAGTTCAAAGATGTGCAAGTTAGGGTGGATTGGCCATGCTAAACTTCCCATAGTGTCTGCGGTGTGTAGGTTAGCTGGATTATCCATGGGAAATGCAGGGTTACAGGGTAAGGGGTGGGTCTAGGTGGGATGCTCTTTGGAGGGGCAATGTGAACGAGATGGGCTGAATGGCCTGCTTCCATACTGAATTGATTCTATGACAAATATCCCACCCCTGCCAGCCATTAGGTCAAGAACCAATGGTGGCAGGTGGAAGTCCTTAGGTAGTCATTAATTGACCACTTGAGGATCTCAGTGTTGGCAGGCAATGAAGCCACTCATGGGCCTTACCCAGGGTAGAGGTGAGAAGGTTGTGGGGTCACTACACAACTCACTCTCGTCTGATTAAATGCTCTATAGGAGAGATCACAAGATAGCTCCCTCATTAACCAGCACTTGAGGGCATCTAGACAAACAAACACATGGGCATTCCCAACAAACACTATCCAGCATTCAATATAATTGAGGATTTGGAATCAGAATGTGTGACTCACAAAAAGGTTCATTAAGGCCAGAACTCAGGAGTTTATTCCTCAGATCACCACAAAGTTGACCGTTGAAGAGATTATTACAGCTCCTTCACCAGCTAATTAAAATTCCATGTTTAAACATGCACTAGAAAAAAAAATCTTTCACTCAATAGCCTCAGGACATCTCAATCACAATCTTCAGCCAACGGGCCCCTTCTCGACTGTAGATATCCCTGTACTGTAGCAAGCATGTCAAGCTACATCTGCATAGCAAGACTCAACAAATAGTACTGCAATAAATGACTAGACACAGTAACCAGTTCCAGATCACCTTTGAAATCTCAAAGAGCTGCTACATCTTTAAGCATGTTCAGTTTAGATGAACGGCCATTGACCTGAAATGTAAACTGTGTTTTGTTGTACATGGGTCTGAAAGGGTTAACAGGGAGGAATTCCACAAGCATCGCCCATCATGATGATGTCATGCGGACTTGTGAGCGGCTTAGAATCACAAAGAAGTGAGAACCAACAACTAGTCTACATCAAAATCTCCGTAATAATATCTACCATGTCAATGTAACCTGTAACTAGTCACTAATAAGCATTAAAATAGATCTGGTTAACCACAAGAGGCCCTTCTACTTAGACCAGGGAAGGGCTTTCCTCTCCCACACTAAACCACATAGATCTCATAGTCTCCCAAACTTCAAGAGGACACTGGCAAGAATCGTCATCATGATCAGCAGCTTGTAAAGAGGTCATTACCCAGAGAACAGCAGATGCTGCCAGAGATCTACAAATTATCATCAGTACTCCTTCCGTTTTTATTTCTGCCGTGGATATTGGCCAAGGAATAAATATTGAACCAGGAGATTAGGGGAAAACTCTCCCCTCGAAAAAAAAACACCTGAGACTTCAATCTCGCCTTTAAAGACAACACCGTGCAATTTGTCCCTGGTAAGCCTTGGTTTTGAACTCAAGTCTCTGAAGAGGGTGTTGAATGCTCTGATGCAGGAAGGTGACCCACTGGGTCTCAGTCAACATTTATGCCAACACAATAATCCTGTTGGTCGTGGATATATTTAAAAAAGCCACATCAAAGGGACTAGGAAAACTGCCTGAGTACTGTTCTGGCATTAAAGGGGAAATGTCACATT